GGTCTCATGCAGAGATCGACGATGGGCCCATATGGTTAGACTGTGGAAGCATATTAGTGAACTTGATGACAATAGACTAGTTAAACGAGTATTTCTGTGGGATCACTCCCTAAATTATAATAATTGGTCATCAGAGATTTACCAAATTATGGAGCTCGTTGACTTAAATTATGAACACCTAATTGACGTAAATATACATGCATTAAGAGAAAATATTGCGAGGAGGTCAGAGTCATCTTGGTCAGAAGGTGTTAGTCACAAACCAAAGTTATGTGTCTATGCAACTTTTAAATTTGAATATAAACCAGAAAAGTACATGCTAATAAATTTAAGTCGGGGTCAGAGGTCACTATTAGCTCAACTGCGCATGGGCATTTTGCCTCTCCGTATTGAGACTGGGCGATTTAGACACGAGCCTGTAAGTGTACGAATCTGTAAATTTTGTGATGCAAACGTTGTTAAGGACGAAAATGCATTTTTTGTTTGACTGTCAGCAATACAATGAATTGAGGCATGAGTATCTAGATTCAATTCTTAATGAAATAACTGGCATATCACAGGGAACAAATACTGGCTCGTTTATTTTCAGGGCCAATAAGAAAATTTGCTCTTTGTTATAGAAAAGGCTTTTTACAAAAGAAGAAATTTGTTGTTCGTCTGAATTTAATGAACTACACGATTGTATTGTTGATATATTATTTCAAGCTCTCTTTCATAACCTGTATTTGTAAATGTAATCGTTATTATTTAAGGTGACTTATAAGTCCACTGGGCTGGACAGTTCTCTGAGCTGCAGGTCACTATAATAAATTACTTACTGCTACGGTAAGTAGAGTTGGGGAAGGTTGGGGTTAACGACTTCTAAATACTGATGAGATACTTAACTGCAACAAGTTATTTACTTATCAATGTACACTGTACCACTCCTCAAATACCCTATGGCTGGGGAGTAACAGTAACACTTCCCTATAACAAACCCAATTTATTATGTGCTGAATTTATAGTGAACACTTCACTATAACAAACCCAATGTATTGAGTGCTTCATTATAGTAAACACTTCACTATAACAAACCCAATGTATTGAGTGCTTCATTATAAGTGAACACTTCATTATAACAAACCCAATGTATCAAGTGCTTCCTTTTAAGTGAACACTTCATTATAACAAACCCAATGTATTAAGTGCTTCTATAAGTGAACACTTCATTATAACAAACCCAATGTATTGAGTGCTTCATTATAGTGAACACTTCACTATAACAAATCCAATGCATTATGTGCTTCATTATAGTAAACACTTCACTATAACAAACCCGATGTATTAAGTGCTTCCTTATAAGTGAACACTTCATTATAACAAACACAATGTATTATGTGCTTCATTATAGTGAACACTTCACTATAACAAACCCAATGTATTGAGTGCTTCATTATAGTAAACACTTCACTATAACAAACCAAATGTATTGAGTGCTTCATTATAGTGAACACTTCACTATAACAAACCCAATGTATTGAGTGCTTCATTATAGTAAACACTTCACTATAACAAACCCAATGTATTGAGTGCTTCATTATAGTAAACACTTCACTATAACAAACCCAATGTATTATGTGCTTCATTATAGCGAACACTTCACTATAACAAACCCAATGTATTAAGTGCTTCATTATAGTGAACACTTCAGTTTGCTATAACAAGGTTACAGTTTAGTGTTTAACCAAAGGTGTACTAGATCAAACATGTTGATACTATAAAAACTGCTAGAAATGTTCACAATTTAGGAGCAGAAAAATTTCACAAAACACCGACTTTCTGTCTTAAAGTTGTATTGTAGGTGAAACTCAACTGAAAGCTCTTTCAAAGTTCAGCATCTTGGCAAGAAAACAAATTATCCACCAAGTTATATTTGCATTCACTATAGTAAATCTAGTCTCGCCTTTGAATTCCATGATCCATGCTAAACACACCCAACTAGGAAATCATCTCAGATTAATCTTAATAGAAACGCTTCACATCAAATATTGATTTTATAATAGACTATATAGTCCATCTTCAATCACGGAACAAAGGAACCCAAGTGCAATTCAGTGACAATCACAAGTAAGCAAATAAAAATGAGTCAAAGTATATATACATAATGGTTTTGTATTTACATCCAAAATATGTATTTAATATACAGACATAATTCATAGATGATTTATATAATAAGTGAATAGAAATATTTAAGACTAAATGAACTTAATGTTATCAGGAGTAGTTCTGTTCATATACCAATTATATATGATACACAATAAGTATAGTGTGCAATCAGTTGAATGCCATAAATTTTCCCGCCAAAATCTTTGGGCACCATTTGCAAATTTGCATATTTTTCTGTAATTCCTTTTTAATTTTGAAACAAATTAACATGATTTTTTCACTGGCAACAGATCTTGTTAAATCTGACAAAAGCTGATTTTGGGATTTATGGAAGTGTAACACTAAATATCGCCCTCTATGGCAGAATTCACTTCAGACTAGGAAGCTTGTTCAAATGGGTCAGCTTTACTGATATTTAACAGCATTGTAATCACTGCGTGGTGAGTATTTTATGACTTGGAAGAAGAGGTGGATTTTGCTAGTGAATTTTAGTCAACACTGACTTTTCCTTTAAAAACTTGCAGGATTACATACTATTTTATGTAGTTTTCAAGGACAAGTAAAAAAGGTACAACATTCTATCATTTCATCGCCTGGATATTTTTGGTGCAATATCACCAGCATCATGAATAATTTAGTCTACCTCAAGTCAGTCATGTATGTGTGTTACATTTCAACTGATTGGCTGATAACCATCCACATGAAAAATTTCCACCAATTAAAGTGAACGTTGCAAATGCAGTACGGTTACTTCTTTGAGCTCCTCCCCTTCTTCCTCTTGGCTTCTTTCTTCAACTTAGCGCGTACTTCTTTTTTCATTCTTTTGTCAACAACTTTGTAAGGTCCCTTGACTCCAGCAGGTCGTCTCGCTTTCTTTGAAGCTAAACTTTTCTTCGACACAACATAATGAACGTTTTTCTTTTTCTTATCCATAAGGCCTGCTTTTTTGTACAAACTGCAAGCAAGATGAACAGAAAAATTAAAAATAATTTTCTACCTTTATGAAGTGAGAGAATGATGAATAGCAACTCACTTCATATTGTACAATGTGATTCATGAAGGCCAAAACAAAAACAATAGCAAAATAATTCTGTTCACCAAAATGTCACAGCAAAGTAATTCAGATGAAATTACCACTATTGTCTGTATACAAAACCATAATGCTGTAGTTTTCAAAACACCGTTATCATCTACGCATAATGTCAGACTTTGATGTTGATGTAATTTCTATTATCAGTTTTGAATCAATGCCATCACAATAAATGCTAATGACATCTTGTACTATTTTATACTTCTTATGTATTGTTGTTTAAAAGAAATATCATGTTATTCACTATTTACTAAGACTTGTATGTGAGTCAGGCAAAGTAATTCTGCCTGATCCAAAATTATGTCGATATACAAGTTATTGTTGCTTTTTGATCAAATAAATTATGAATACATAGTGAAGGAAACAGAAATGAACAAATCGACAATGAATTTGAATTTCTGTACTTGCTCGTTTTAAACACATTTATTTTATTCATACCTTTTAATATGATTTGCTTTCTCTCGATCTGACATGTCTACTGTGTCGGATATCACCTCAGCTTTTTTTCTTGCTTTCTCCATTTTTTTAAGCATTTTCCTCTTCTTTCTAGCTTTTGCTTCTGCCACTTTCTTGATGGGCCTTGCATTGATTTCTTTCAATCTCATTCGGTATTCAGCCACCATTTCCTGTATTGAATGAAAAGTAAAAGTTCACTAATACTAATTGGCTAGAGCTTATCAGGTGACTTTGTGTCATTTATACTGATTGGCTGGAGCTAATCAGGTGACCCAGCTTCATTAATATTGATTGGATAGAGCTAATCAGGTGACACAGTGTCATTCATACTGATTGGATAAAGCTAATCAGGTGACCAGTACCGTTGACACTGATTGGATAGAGTTAATGAGGTGACCTAGTGTTATTCATGGGTCAATAATGTAATTATGTTTTCATGACTTGCCTACATCAGTAATCTGAAAACAAAAATCCATTTTTGGGGGGGGGGGCTTGACAGGAATGGGCTGTTCATCAGAATGGGAGAAGTGGCAGAGCCAAGAAAAGTTTCTCTATGCAGATTCTAGTGCCATACTGCACCAAGTTTCCTCTTCCCCTCTCCACTACACCCCTGTGTATATAATGGTTTGGTCCAACTATACATTGCAACTAACCTTTGTAACTGGAGTTTGTTGTTTGCAGTGTCTCGCTTCATTTTCAACGAACCAATCAGGAAGATGGTCATCATTAAAAGTATATCTGACAAAAGCAAGTGAATTTTGTCATGAAATAAACATGATTGTCAAAAATTTCATATTTGAAGTATTGTGTTACAAAAAATGCTATATATATGCTATATTACCATTTTAATGCAACATCAGCCATAACCGAGTCTATTCGTGGATGGTGCTTTGAAGTATGATAGTTTGCATATTTAATTAAACTTTGAATTTTAAAGCAGGATTCAACACCAGTCAGAGCAACAGCTGTTTGCAGTGACTCAGCATAATTGCCAGCTACACAAGGCTTGTATTTTGTGGACCAATGATTAAACTATGAAATAGACATTTGCTAATTTGACTACCATTCACATTTGAAAGCTGTCTTCAACAACCAATAATGTGTACAGTAAAGTAAAGGCATTCTCACACCAAACACACAATACTTACCTATTAAAAGCATGTTCTACAAGGTTTCTTTTGTTTTTCTTTGATGATATGAGCAATGAACCTAAGGCCATTCCTTCAGCGCTGAGTTTACGAGACTTCTTAGCTGAAAGAGACAGTGTCAAATAATGATGTATGCAATTTATTCAATCAACAAGATGGCATTTCATACCTGTTTAACCATTTCAGAAAAAAATAAATAGCGCCCTCTATCGTGATTTACCTGGCTCCTTTGCTTTGACGACCTCAAAATCACTGCTATCTTTATCTTCTCCAAAACTTCTTTTAGTTTTTCCTGCTACCAGTCTGCCCCTTTCCTTCAGGTGATGAAACCCCGTTCATTAGGACATCATCATCATAGTCACTGTCATCATCTGACAAGGATTCTGATTCTTCTTCTCCGTCTGACTTCAATGTAACTGTCTTGTCAAATCTTACTTTCTTACCACTCGATTGATTCTTGGAAATATCTTTTTTAGTGGTTTTATCTGATAAAAATTTATATTTTGAAACAAACGTGAAAATGTGATCATGTAGCACTAGACATGCTCGTTATTCATTTGATTCAAAGAAGTTCAATTGAACATTATACATCACCTTCTTCGGTTAACATTTTTTTTTCGAGAAACAAAGAATCCAAAGCGCACTAGAAAATTGCACAAATATTTATTTTACACTGGATTGAATTTCTTCATACCTCAAAATTTTGTTGGGTGACATGGGAGGAAAAAGTCAAATGATTTATGGTATGAATTTCCAGTGTGATGTTTTTTTATTATTTACAACAGGGGGTTCTTTCCCATAATGCATTGCCCACAGTGCTAAATTTGGCTCGAACTACTTGAATGACTATTTTTTGAAAAATAATGGAATTAACCAAAATAAACAGAACTAATTTCAAAAATAAATCCACAAATTACAAATTTTGTAATACACATCTAAAAACAACTGTTTATTAAGTAACTGTAACCATAGCAACAAGAGGAATTTGAAGTATCTTATGAAAAAAAGTCTAGCATCACAAATACATCAACATAATTTATCCGTGGCCTCACCTAGCACAACTCCTCCTTTTTGTTTATAACGTTTGGTCATTTCGGCTATCTCAATGTCTTCATCCTCATCCAGCTCCACCCCAGCAAATGAATCCTGTGACAGAAATTGAAATACACATCATTGTTGTTTATTAATAAACAGGATGATGAATCAAACATCATTTTGCTGGATTATTAATCCATGATATAAATAATATCTAACCCTCTAGGATCAGAGGATTTAGCAATAATACTGTAAAATATTTTATTTTAGCTGGAATTAATTTTCGCTGAAAAGACTTTTTGTCTGTTTTGTATGGAGTTTATTTTCACCAATTTTTGATGATTTGAATGTAAAACATAGGGAAAAGAGTATAATCACTTGATTATTGTCACTGAATCATACTTTCATCGAAAATAAATTCCAAGCAAAAATAATGTATTTTACATTATCCTATACTGACCTTATCAAACCATAATTTTGTTTGTCTTTCTTTTTTAGTGTCTTTATCTTCTAAATCCACCATCAGTGGATTCTTGTCGACCTCCACATCATTTTCACTCTCATCTTCATCTTCATCTTCGCTGTCATCTTCATCGTCACTATCCTCAGAGTCATCCCTACAGACATGGATATAATTAAACAGGGATCATTTGAAAGAGTGTCAAAACTACCTAATGAATTTTCCCCTTAATATTACTGCCTCACATTTATCATTTGTTTGTTATTTTGTGTTTTTCAGATTTCTCCTTCTGAGAAGAGTCATCGCTTGTGCAAAATTTCACCAAGGGAAACTTAATAGCAAATATTTCCTTTAAAAAAAAGATTACTACGAGAAATGACACATAAAATGATATGGCAACGTATTTGACAATTCGCCCAAGGCCCTGGTAAGTTGTTATCATGTAGTGTAATCTGTAGGGTTTGCTAGAAAAAAAATGGATTTTGATAGTTGGCAGTATCTCGAGACCTGGATGCAACCCTGCTGGCATCTTTTTTCATTTGCAAGTGATTTAATATACGTTAGTTTATATTGTATATGCCATTTCAGTGTCTACATTTTTGCGATGGTCGTTAAAAATTGGCACTAATGACACAGGAAATGTTTTATTAAAAATGAAAATTGGAGAAAGAAGATAGATAGTTACAGCTATTGCCAGTTAAATTAAACACATGGAAAATTATTTTTCAACACCTTGGAATCACTCCCATAACTCACTTCAGAGCTTTCAGAGAGCATTTTTTCATTCATTTTTCTTGCCATTTTCAAAAGGCCTGATTCTTGCATTAGGATATATACTTCACTTTTTGAAATGAATTTTCTGTAACTACAATGTGTGAATGAAATTTTCACAGTAATCGTACCAATCCTTCTCTCTATCATTTTGGTTTTGTGTTCCATCATCAGATTCATCCTCACTGGCAGACTCAAACTGTAATTCCTCTTCCGAATCTTCTGCTTCCTCATCCATAAAATTGATGTCACCTTTGCCGACTTCTGACAATTGCTGATAAATAATGTAAATTTGTAAATAAATTTAAAAATGTGAATGTGACTTGTAAACGTTTATTTTATAAAGAAGATATTTTTTCAACTAAAGCAACCAAATATAGCAGGTTATGTCCCTGATTATAATTTGTCAACTGACAATATAATGCTTATGTTGTTGGCGCACACTGAGGAGAAAAACCACAGCGATGATGCACAGTGATAATAAACATACATAAAATGACATAAAATGGGAATTTCAGTGAACAATCTCCAGATATGTTGTATTTCTCTTAAATAATCAATGGCTGAACCAGAGATTTTCTTACTTACTTCTTTGCTTTTAATTTTGGCCAATGAGAACATAGCTTCATCTGTACCAAAGTCTAACGTATCATTAGGTAAGTCCATCTTTAATGCCAGCCTCTCTCTCAATTTCCGTCTCTTAGATAACAGCTGTTTCTTTTTCCTAGAGGGAATTGTGTTATTTTATTTATAGAAGTATTCGCTAGAAGTATCTAAATATATTATTACTTCACAGTTGTTACATAGCATATAGTATATGATTGTTCTCTCTTGTTCTTAGACTAATATAGTGAAGATCTTACCTTCTAGCATCGGCTTTCTCTTCTTGTTTCAACTTATCAAGCTGGGCCTCTATTTCTTCCTCACTATCCAGATCTTCGGATTCACTAGAAATAATTAGTTTATCAACTGATGTATGACTGTCATCGGTTTATTACTTTAATCAGTGCGTGATTTTGTTTGAATTTCAATGATAACATTTATTTGGAGTGACTTGTCGAGAGTTGTCCCAGCATTTCCAATGCATAGTATGAGAGAATAAGTAACATGTTTTTTAAACAGGGAGTAAGGGACAATGTTCTTAGAAAACGTAAAATCACCCATCTTAGAGAATAAGCTCTGATGCTTTTTCAATAAATAATATTGGATGTAAGAAAACAATTCTCAATGAAATATTTTGTGCTCACTGACAAATGCATATACTTTCAGTTTTTAATATGTAAATTATTATCACATGTGCTAAGAAACAGACAATTGAACCATTTTATCGGTGATGTGGCTTGTTGTGAGTACATAAGTATGAACATCCACTTTCCAGCAGGCAACCACATTTTAGACATTCTTTTTCAAACACAACCTGTAACTTTATTCTGGCCATACCGGTATTTACTGTAAAACCATTTATATTCACTGGTATTTAATTTCACTATTTTGATGTTTTCAACAATTTCACTGGGTTTAAGGTTCATAAACTTGGCAGGGAAACAATGAGTTTCCACAAGAATTAATTTAGCGTATTTTACATATCAGCGAAAATAGTGAAACCGGTGAATAATTAATGTATCTACAGTATATAAAAAGAAATTAACTGAGAAGCAGATTAAAAATTCTGCTTCCTGCCATAGATATTAATATTAGGATTCAACACTATGAATAATTGTATTATTTATTTTGCATTTTTAATTCCTGCAATCATTTGAACACTGATGTAAAATAACATGTAAATATCCTTGGTAAATGAATAAATAATGTTGCATTGTTCATCTCCAATGAACTTCATTAACTTTATTTGTATAATTCACAAGAGGACTAGCAACTATCTGGACAGAAGTCAGTTTCAATGAGCAAAGATTACCATATTTAGATGTGTAGCGATGTGAGATTGTTCATAAGTCTGGTGCCCTCACAGTTTCCTGTGGGAGAGGCCTTTCAGAACACAGAAAGGTCTCATGCCACTTATCAACTAATCACAGTTCGTAGCCCTCAATTTAAATGCTTTGCAAGAATCAATGAAATTTTTTTTAATATTTTGTTTTCAGGTGCGCCCTGTTTGAGGGTGTGCATCACCTGTGTCAAGGGTGAGACTAACATGTGGTCTTTTGTTTACTCCTTAGCGGCTGTGTACCTGTGGGTTTATTCTGTGTGTATTTGGATGTTCTAATCTTGGTGTCTTTCCAGTGATTTCTCTAGGTGCAATCCAAACACAGTAGGTGTGTCTTGTTTACCAGAGTTTTGCAAGAGTTTGAGCTGGCCAACATGTGCGTTTTTTTCATGTGGTTGATTACTGGCATGTTGATTTCCTATTTTTGAACCATGTTTTCAACTTGTTCATTATTTTCATATAGCAATTTCCTCATATGTTAACATTGTTGTCTATGAGTTTCAGCTGGTGTTATGAGCCCAGAAAAAGGCTCCATGGGGAAGCCATGTTATTTCTGCATACACAGGCATAGGAAACTGCTTTTTTTCAATTACAAGAAACACTTCATATTACTTTTTCATTTTTAATCCAACCCATCATTGTGTTCACAAACAATAATAATCACGACTGCTACACTTGAACTATCTGAAGTTTACAAAAACAAGCCATGCATGGCACAGTCCTCGTTAGTTATCGAATTTGGGATATATAGTTTTGTTTATAGTAATATAATTGGAATATAACGATGTCAGAAATATGATTATGATTTTTTTAACATTAAAATGATTGACATTTTGTATCTGATCGTCAAACAAGTACTTGTCCATATTGGGAGATATTGCTCTGGAACAGCTTTAATTAAAACAAAATCAGCCATTTTGAATACATGTATATATCTATAACATGATGTATAATAAATATCTAAAATTTGAACATAATCAGTAAAAGCAAGGCAGAGATGGCACTAGAACTGGATTCATTGAAACAAAATGGCCACTAGTCCGTTCTGAAAAATAAAATTAAGTGCATCAGGAACCCGTAATGTCTAATGTATGTACCAAGTCTGAACAAATCCATCCATAAATGCCAGAAATGCTTGATATTTGATTATTTTTTTTAGAACAAAATGGCCGCAATTTGGCTATTTTGAATCAGAGCATGAAACAAATTGATGTGCCTATGTATAATATTATGTATGATGTATGTGTGAAGTTTGAATATAATTGGTCCATGCATGTCTAAGATATAGGTCCAGACGCATGGGCACACGGACTACGTCCAAATGAGGACTAATTAAAAATCCTCTCACCTTTCTTTTTCTTCTTTAGGTGTCTCGGTTTCTTTCAGTATTTTCTTTCTCCAGTTTAAAAGACTCCTGATATCTTTTTTACCGAGTACTTTGATGTCTTTGCAACACTGTATTATTTCAAAATGGTGTTGTTAAGGAGTGCTTAGCGATGGCGTTGTCATCACCAAAGG